GTGGTACCACATTAATGGAACCATTTTGACTTGACGAAGTCCCGATGGTAGTCATTTCTGTTACACAAACAGAAGTTCAACAAAATGATGATAATATCGGTGGAGGAATAATATTCAAACAAAGTAATGGTTGTCCACAACCAACCACAAAGACACAAAATATGTCTTAAGATTGTTGGAGACGATTTATAAAAAATGCTATGTAAGGGCTGTTTTTTGATGTATTTGTTTGACCAGTTTTAACCCGCAAGAGCGCGATCAAAACACAAATTATATGAATGAAAATTAGGATAGAGTTTCGGTATAACGATTATGCAAAACAAGGATTAAGAAGGAGTAGAAATAAAAAATAATCCAAGGCGAGAAAGTTATCTCTTTCCTTAAGATAAATTGCCTCGCTACGGTGCTCATGGTGAATGACACTTGTCTCCCAAGATACAATGGATTTACAACTTGTGGTAGCAGCACTTCAAACCACAAAAAATCGATGAACTTTTGACAGAATTTTCTCTCTACAAAGAAAATGTATGAAAATGCTATGGAATTAGAAAGGAGAGAATTGCAAGAGACGAATGAATGTTTAATGCAATTGGTGTACCCAAAATCATGTCCATGGGTTCTATTTATAGATGTAGAAATGGTGCAAATGAAGTAGTGTGGGCCAAAACATGCATCATTTCAAAAAAGTTGCAACACTTGGCCAAAACATGCATCCTTTCGAAAAGTTGCAACACTTCATTTCTTCCAACTTTGATTTGCAATTTCTCATTCATCCGGAATTGGTTTCGAGATTCCAAATATACCATAACGATCTACACGACGAGTAGAATAAGTTGGTCTATTTACTTTTGTAATTTGACCAACGGATTAAGTCAAAATATTTGATCGAAGTTGACATGTAGTCACAACTTTTTATTTTCCACTTTTACACACCTTTTCATTTTCCAATTTTTGGTTAATTATTTGAACCAATTCCTACAAAAAGCACATACGATCCATTTCTTCTAGGGGTAAGTAGATATAAATTGGAGTATAAACATTATTGTTGTAAGGTGGACGATACAAAATCAAGATGCTGATGATTTGGTTGGCATCCGTGGTAGTGGAATGGGGTGTGATAAGACGAAGAGTGGTTGTGATAATTTACGACCCGTTGAGTATGGTACATTATTATAATCATCTGTGATTTGTGATTATTACGTGATCGTGATCATAAATTATGTTTATTGTGATCGTGGCCTGTTTAATTAAATTATATGTTACAATATTTTAGCAGAGTTGACAAAATGTGATCACCTGATTTTTTAACAATTTTTTATTTTTGAAATTATATTTTGAAACATTTTTAGTTATGAATTCTCGCAAAAAACACTTAATTTAATTTATAGATAAAAAAAAAGAAAAATTATATTTGGCTTCCAGCGTTTAGCCGAGCCTGCTCCACTTTTTGGACAATATTTCTTGACTTGATCAATTGGTCCATAATTTCAACAAATTATATTTTTCTTCATGGAGTTGCACTTCTTCTACTTTTCAAAATGTATTGAGTTTTCAAATGAAATATTACTTCCACTAAACCTTCTTTATTCAAAAATCAATTTACTTGTAACTTTTGCGAAAATTTCTTCCCTGCACAAAAATAGGTTTTTTTGGTCATAAGAAGACAGAAGAGACTAGATAAGTCTTAACGTTTTAACCTCATCACCAATCTCAACTTCAATAGTCTCTTGTACAGAAAATAATCCCTTCGAGAACGCACAAATGGTATATGACATTTTCATACCTTCATCCATTTACATAGAATGAAACTGTTCCTTTAGATATAATCGATTTGATAGACTAATTTTTTGATATAACTCTTCAATATTTCCACCAAATGTCCTTTGCAACAGATATTCCGCGAATGTTTGTAAGAACATATTTGGGCAAAGAGAGACATTATGGTTGCAGCTTTCAAGTCCAAATCTTCCCAATAAATTGATAAAAGAATATATATTTTGCAATAAGTTGCTAGAATCAATAAATTGCATGTGTGGATCAAACTGTATTTATTTTGAAGATGAAACTAACATTAATAAGTAATGCTTTTTGTATGTTATAAGTCGTGGTTCTTATGAAATGTATAAAAAAAATTGATAAAAAATGTGAGTCCTACATAATGTTTGGATAGAAATGACAATTGATTAACTTATAATCTTGAAAAAGCACTCCAAACATAATATAGGTGTCAAAAAAAGTGAGAACAAAAATAAAAGTATTTGTAAAAATAACTAATTTGTATTACAAAGCCAAGACATGCTCGATTTTCATAATGCAAGTACATATAATTTTCTTGAATTGTGGAGAGATTCATCTAGAATTACCAGGATAAGGTCTTCAAATTTATGCGCGAAGAAGATAAAAAGGTTAAATGAATAAACTGATTTAATTCCTAACAAAATCTTTTAGATAAAGTAGGTGAACACGAGATACAAACATCACATATCGAGTTGTGCCAACATTCATATATGAAAATTTGTACACACATCAAACTTGTGAGGTAGAAAATGAATCAATATGTCGTTTTTATTTATTTATTTTTTTATTTTTCAAATTGCAATCATTCGAGTTTGTTGGCTGAGGCATCGTTCTTGATTATTTACCATTTTCCCTTTTGATCTTGAAGTCATATTAAATAGCAAATAGAAACACTGTTGATTTTTAAACTGCGTTTGACCTAAATTATCCAATCAAAGCAACATGGAAAGAGTACTTGCACACCTTCTCCAATATAAAATTTATGAAAGTATGAAATTATTAGAGGATAACATTTTTTATTAAGTTTCATCTAATCGTTTTTAGCAGTTGCTAAGGTGAATTTAAACTACCCTTTGTAGTTTTAGGTTCTATTAGTTTATTTTCCTTGCATAGACTATTAATTCTTTACCGACTTGTCCCTCTCCAGGCTAAAATGTGGCCATATATACTAAGGACCATTTAACCCCTCTTTGACGTAGTTAAAAATAATTCTTTTAATAAATTTTAATAATTGATAAAACGTGTAATTAAAAAGTTAATAAAAATTCTGGATCTCATAAAATATATGATTAAAATTTCATTCACTTTAACTTAGATTTTTTTATCAATTTTTTTAGATCCACCAAACAAAGGTTTAATTTGTTTATTTGAATTTTAAATCTCCGAATTATATTATTGGTAAGTAAAATTGGTGATTTTAATAGAAATGAAGTGGATATGTCTAATTTCTAAGCATTGAAATTTTAAAAAAAATTTGGGGGTCTTGAGTGCAATTGAATTGTAGTGAGACATGACAAATTATGGAGCAATATAACCAATCGATAAATATAAATACAATGTTTATTAACTATTACAACACATTTAAATTGTATTTAAGGTTTTAATCTTTGTTCATTACAACTAGTGATGGCAATGAGCTAATTCGAGCCGGCTCGGCTCTTTAACCCAAGAGCTCGGCTCAGACTCATGGTGAGCCGAGCTGAGCTCGTGGCTCTTGGAATACGAGCCGAGCTCGAGCTCGGCCCACGAGCTCGTGAGCTCATGATTTTTTTTGGTAAATTTGCACATTTTGAACATTTAAAAAAAATAATATTTTTTGACGAGCCCACGAGCTCGATTCTCGTCAAAATGGCTCGTGGGCTCGACGAGTCGAGCAGGTTCGGCTCGTGGGATTGAGCCCCTGCTCGGCTCGGGCTCGTCATTTGACGAGTGGCCCACGAGCCGGGTTTTGTTGAGCCGAGCGATCAAACCGACGAGTCGTTCAAACCCTTTTGACATCCCTAATTACAGCCTTTATATCACTAAATTATTTGAGTTAAGCCATTTGTACACCACTCTTGACATCATCCAAGTTGGCATGATTTGATTGGTGAAAAAGTTCGTTATTTTTTTAACTGTCAAATAATGTGTTGTCACGTGATACAATACAAAAAGTGATATACACGTAGTCTGATTGAAATTATCTTATGCATTCTTATAATCAATATTTGATCAAATAATAAACCACGTTTTTAATAATAATTTTTATTCAAAAAGTCCATTGAGAGTGCGTAAAATGACATATTTTTAAAATAATAAGTGTAATCTCTCATTTCAGATAAGAATGGCAATGAGGCGGGGCCTCCACTCCACCCTGCCTCATTTGGCTCGAACCCTGCCCCGTCCTTCCCCGCCCTAGGCGAGGCACGAGGCGGGGCGTGGCTGGAATGGGGCAAGTTTTTGTCCGGTTTATTTTTTTTTTTTTACATTTTTAAAATTATGAATTATGTTATTATTAGAGAATAAAATACAAACTCAAAATAAGTTTTTAATGGGTGAATTGTGTAGAAGTAAAATTATTTTTATTTTTTCTTCACGAGGCGTGTTCGGGAAGGGGCATCCTTGCCCTGACCTGCCACGTGCCCACCAATGAGGCGCCCCGCCAACCCATTCGGTGTGGGGCCCCATTGGGACGGAGCAAATTTTTTTGACATCCCTAAATTCAGAGCATGCACAAAAATATATTTTGACAAAAATATCATAAAAAACGAGAAATACTAATCATCGAAAGGTTGAAAAATAAGAAGGGGAAATGGGAGGGATGTGACCAGGGTTAGTTAATATAACTACAGTCAAGCTCTCCCGTCTCCATCCTCTACTTTTCGTACATTTTCCACCTCATATTTATTTATTTTTTTCAAATAAATTAAACTTTCACTCCGACACCCTTTGTACTCCGCGTTTCGAACCTTGTACATTTCTGTCATCTATAACCCCTTAATTATAAGCCTTTGTTTGGTACCATTGTTTGAAATTATAATGGGTAGAATAGTATTTTTATGAAAAATGAGTGGTAGAAAAATAAGGAATTTTTTTTAATTTACATGCAATATTATTTTATAGAAAATTGTGTAATTAAAGATAAGAGAAATAAAAATAAAATGTAATTTACTAGGACAAACGTGGCATAATTATCCTCTTTCGCTTTCTACACAAGCAAAATCTCTCTCTAGAAAACTATATCCCGTGTAGAAAGTCTCGTCCTCATCCCAACTCTCGTCATTCGGTGCAAAGTTTCCCTATTTCCCTCTTGTCCTTTCTTCTTTCTCAACAAATTCCTGCAACGGTTATTCGGCGCCTATGCAAGCAGCAATTGATAATCACCGAGCTATTTATGGTGAGGTTTTTCTGCATTTGTTACTGCCATTTCCGTTTTGCAGATTAGAGACACAGAAGTGTTGTAATATCTATCTTGTTCCAAAGTTCTTTTTTTCCCCTCCTCCTTTCAGTCTTTTAAGCAAGTAAAATGGAGAATTGAACTTTGTGGTATTTGTCTTCGTTTTTTTTTTTTTGAGAGGTCGAAATTAGTAAATTTCTGATAAGCATTGATATGTTTTGTTTTGTGCTTACAGGAGTTAATTTTTTGGATAAGATTCGGGATAAATGCTTGGGTTCAACGCACAGTTTTATTAATTTATTGTAGAGGTGGAATTTGATTTTCGATGTAATTTTTAAAGCTTTAAATGCTTTTATATCAGGTTGTTGAAGCCGCGGTCACTGGTAAATTTTTTGATACAATGCATAGTTGTTTGAGGTTGAGCGAATTTTGTCTTTTTCTGATAGTCGTTGATTTGTGCTCTTTTGTGGTTGCAGGGGCTTGCTGGAAAAAATGCTTGGTGTTCAACTCGTAGTTATACCGATCTTTTAATTAAGGTGGAACTTGATTTATATTTTTAATGTAATTAAAAGCTTTTTAATTCTTTTATAAACTGTTGTTGAACTGGTAGTTAGTAGTAAATCTTATGGTATTATGCATATCTGTTCGAGAGATTTGTTCTTTTCTGATAATTATTGATTTGTGTTCTTTTGTGGTTGCAGGAGTTTGCTGGACTAGCTACGGGAAAATGCTTGAGGTTCAACTCGCAGTTGTACTAATTTCTCGTTAGGTGGAATTATATTTTTTATTATACTGTACAATTTATAGCTTATATGACCTGTTGTCGAACCAGTAGTTACTGGTAAATCTTATGATATTATGCATATCAGTTTGAGAGGTTGAGCCTATTTCGTTCTTCTCTGATAATTATCGATTTGTGTTCTTCAGTGGTTGCAGGAGTTCGCCAGATTAGCTTTGAAAATATTGCTTGAGGTTCAACTTGCAGTTATACTAGTTTCTTCTTAAGGTGGAATTCGGTTTTCTATTTATTTGTAAATTTTATAGCTTATATGACCTGTTGTTGAACCTGTAATTACTGCAGCATTCATAGCACAGGTTGCACAACCATTATTATAATCTTTGGCATCAGTTTTAATATCTTCCATGTATAGCCTAATTTTAGACATAAGTTCATATTTCCATGTATAGCTATTTTCACCATCTATCATTGTATAAATATACTCTGACAATGTAACAATAGAATGAATCATGATTCTTCCACTCAATATTGCAGCTCTGGCTTTCACGAACTAGACTAATTCTTGGCCTCAATTTTCAATACCTTGTTTCTCACTGTAATACTCACCATGGCTGAAGAAAGCACTGCTACAGCCACTGCCTCTCTCAACCAAATCACCATCGATGCATCCTCTATCTAAAATAACCTTATTGCAATAAATGCTGCCAAACAACTCTCTTCAAGTTGAATCCTCCTAATTACTGTGGAAAGCCCAGTTTGATGCACTTCTCTTCGGAGATGATTGACTGGGTTTCTTTGTTGGAACCTAGCCCTGCCCTCCTGCTGAACTCATAGTTGATGTGGCAAGAAGGTTTCAAATCCAAAAAGTTTACTCTGGATGAGACAAAAACTCTTGTTTCTTGGCATCATTGGATCACTTATTGCAAAGGTTATGCTGGTGATTCGAATGTGCAAAACTTCTGCCAAGTCTTCGAACAGCCTTGTAAAAAACTGAATGCTAATCTCCCTTCATATAGCACTATGGGATTGATGGAACAACTCTCTGCCATTGGCCAAGGGACACGGCCAGTAGCTGATTATCTTGTAATGATATGCGATATTGCTGATGAGTTGGCTCTCGGGAAAAGGGTTCCGATCCCATAATGTTACTCACTCTCTTAATGGTAAATGGTCTGAGTTTGAATAACTTGCTACCTCCGTTCGGGGACAAGATATGTTATCATTTTCAATGAGCTCCAGGACAAAGTTGTTGAATATGAAGCTTTACTCAAATGTGAAGACCTTTGTTCTATTGGAAACCCGGCCAACCTCATTGTAATGCAGTGTGGTTTTATTCTCCAAATTAGAACCAGAACGACAGTGATAAGAGAAATTTTTAGTAAAAATGGCATATGGGAGTTGGTGCCGCCTCAATCTCATCAGAATATTGCAGAGTTGAAATATTTTTTTGTACTAAACGAAATCTAGAGGGCAACATGCCAGCTATAAGGCTCACCTTGTAGCCAATGGGTTTCATCATCGTCCAAGCATCAACTAAAAGGAGATGTTTAGTGGTCAAACTGTCTACTATTCGACTAGTGCTCTTATTGATATTTCTTGTGGATGGGCCATCAACTCGATGTTAACAATACATTTGTTCATGGCCATCTTAGATCGGAAGTTTATGAATCCTTTCACTAAATTCACCCAAACTATTTGTGTCGTTTGTCAAGTCTCTTTATGGCTTGAAACAAGCTCTCGTGTTTGGTTACACGACTTTTTAATGCACGTAGTTGTATGAAGTTTTATCAAGGATGTTATTGCTACATTTCTCGTTGTCCACTGAGGACCTCGGTCCTAGGCTATCTTATATTTTTCTTGGTATTGAAGTCATTCCTTCACCTCATGGATTCTTTTAACCATAGCAAAATTATATACGTGATCTCTTGGAATGATTCAAAATGGATGGCATCAAAGAAACGTCCGCACCAATTAGCACGATGGTTGTTGGCTTAATCTTGTCTTGATGTTGCTCATTCCGCTAAAAAGATAGCACAATACATGCATTTGACGAATCAAACTCATTGGATGTTTTTCAGAACTTCAATATTTTAAACACATTATTTCATGAGACTTTTCCTTTGCCACTTTGAGCTGCTTACTCTTACTGCTTACTTCGATATAGATTGGTTGGAAATCAGGATGATTGTACCTCAATTTCGGTCTACATTCTCTTTGTTAATTAAACCTTATTTCATAGTGTTCAAAGAAGTATTGTGCTATTCCTCAATCTTCAATAATTTGTAATTACTTTTTTGGATTCATGTCGTCAATCAATAGCATGCAGTATGTGGAGATTTGATTATAAAGATTCCTATAATTCCAAATAGTACGATTCTGCCTCTTGCAGATAAGATATATTATATTTTGATGATATAACTAAATGCCATGACCTCAACCTAAATTTTGATGGCCATTTCCTTGTCTTTGACCATGGTTTCCTCTTTCGAGATGAAGCTTGCAACAAAGCATTGTTGGCCATACAACTATGGTACTTAAGTTTGTGCTATTGTCCAAGTAATACTGGAAAATACCTTTTCAATATATATACATGCAAGAAAAGATATTTATAGATAGGGTATTGTTATCATTTTGTCCAGAAGTTACAGCTTATGACACTAGTGCCATCTGCCCTATATCACACCCAAGAATAAACTTGAAGTCACCTCAAGCTCACTCTCCTTGGCCCATTCCTGATTCAATCCATGTTTCTAGTAGGCTTCTGCATAATCCGTCAACTCCACATCGAATGCTCCAGCATCAACTCGAATACAACTTCTTGCCACCTCTTTGCCCAAAAGTTGTAGCCATGACTTAGTGCAATTCACCCTATATCACCCAAAATCAAGCCTGGGAATTCACACCCAGCTTACTCTTCTTGGGCCCGCCCTTATTTTAAGTATGCTCGTGCATTAAATATCCACCAAAATTTGACATGGAAAAATATAGAAGAAACACTTTGTTCTTAAGACTTATGTCATTAGTCAAAAAAGTGTTAGTCTTTTACAAGCTGGCACATATTGTGTATAGAGTCATGCCTATTTGTATGGGGTCGCACGTAAGGATGACATGACCAGTTTGGAGTCGGAGTAACATAGGTTAAAAGAAATGTAAGTTGTTCTATTTCAGCATTTAAATAGTAATAGATGTAATGCTTTTAAATAAATGATCCTGCAAAATATCACCCCATGTTTCGGAAGTAACATCTTTTGTATGCCTTGAGTGAGTTCAATTATGTTTTTTCACGTGCACGACGATTTACGCTTGTTGCATTTATAATTGGAGTGATTTTTGTAAATATAACTGGTCTTGGAGTTTGATTAGGTAGTTTTACTCTTAAGGCATCTCCATCAAATACCAGATTTATATTTTAGGCAATTAATGCCATGGAGAAGATTGAATTCCTTTAGAAATTAATGACAATAGATTGTACATCTTGGTTTGTGTTTGTTGTCATATTTTTTCTACTTTAAACTTGGAATCTGTCTCTTTCTCTCAGCCTACTTTTAACCGTCTTTCATTAATGAATCTTAGCCTTAGCCTACACACATGCTTTGGAATTCTTTTTAGTGACTACGTTCAGTTCATCGCAACATCTACTTGAATATCTAGTGATTAGATCCTTTGGAAGCACTACAATAGCTTCTTTATGTCCACTCAAGACATGCCTCAACCACCTAAGTCGTCCTACCCTTATTTGTCTTCAGTCTGCATCGCTGGATGATGGCAAATACTGTTCTTCTTCTGTCAATTCTAGTATTGACAATAAATCTATCTTAACATCCTCATTATTGCCATGTTTATCATGCAGATGCTTTGTCCTTTAACAGCTTAGAACTCAATTCCATAAAGCATAACATGTCTAAAACTGAGTCTTTTTAACCTTATGGAGATGTTCTTACCACATAGAGCTTAAGCCCTTATTCTAGTACTGTAGTATGACGAGGCTTGCTATGGAAATAAAAAAGTTCATTTCCTAGTTTTGGTTATCGTTATGTTGTGTTTCTATCCTATGTCACTGCAGTTTCTCATGCATTACTCAAGTTTCCTTTAGTATCTCATCTGGAGCTTGCTGTTATGTCTTTGCTCCTTGAGGTTGTCTGTCATCCTTACAGTCTTATTGCCTTAATAGGTGTGTCCATGCTCGCAGAGGCATGCATGCATGTGACTGGAATGTGTATCACTTGAACGAGTAAAGGGAAGAAGAATTTATTAGCTAGTATGAAGTTACAAGAATGGTTGTCAGGCTTTTAGAAAATAGTCTATTCAGCCTGAGGGGTTCTTAATTTGGTTTATGCTACTTGACTGGCAGCCTAGCTGTCATATTATTATTTAATTGCATTTGTTAGATATAGATTTTGTTTTGGTGTTAATATTGTCAGTGAAGTTATAATGAAAATTTATTTATTTTTATTTTTATTTTATTTTATTTTTTGGGTAGGCTTGTGGATATATTATCGAAGGACGGTTGGAAAAGAGAAGTTCCCTGGCGCATTTTCCTAAAAACCTGTTTGCATTAACTGAGTGTACAGTGAGCATTCATGGCATTCTTGGATTTGGTTTCTGGACAGTCACTAAATATCCCTCAAACTTCTAGAAATTTTTCAAGGGTGATGACTCTTCCTGAAATTATATCTGACTGTAATTTGATTGGTGATGGGAATTCAGATAGCACTTCATCTGTTTGCCATGGGCGAATAATTATAGTGGCAAACATGTTACCTTTATATGCTCAAAGGGATAGCAAAACTGCTACATGGCACTTTGGTCTGGACGAGGATTCACTTTTGTTACAAATGAAGGATGGATTTCCACCTGAGACTGACGTTATATTTGTGGGATCTCTTAAAGTTGAAATAGAAGCCAATGAACAGGATGCAATTGCCCAGAGACTCTTGGAAGATTTCAAATGTCTACCGACTTTTCTACCACATGATATCCAGGAAAATTTTTATCATGGGTTCTGTAAGCAACAACTCTGGCCTCTTTTTCATTACATGCTTCCTATGTTCCTCGATCATGGAGACCGCTTTGACCGAAATCTTTGGCTGGCTTATGTGTCTGCAAATTATATATTTTCTCATAAGATCATGGAAATAGTTAATTTCGAGAGTGATTTTATCTGGGTTCATGATTACCACCTATTTGTGCTCCCTACAATTCTAAGGAAGCGTTACAATAGAGTCAAGCTTGGGTTTTTTCTTCACAGTCCATTTCCTTCATCAGAGATATACAGAACCCTGCCTGTGAGGGATGAAATTCTCAGAGGAATATTGAATTGTGATTTAATTGGTTTCCATACATTTGATTATGCTCGTCACTTCCTGTCATGCTGTAGTAGAATACTGGGCCTGGACTATGAATCTAAAAGAGGGCACATTGAACTTGGTTATGCTGGTCGTACAGTTTATATAAAAATTCTGCCTGTGGGTATTCACCTTGGTAGACTGAAAACTGTCTTAAATCTTCCTTCTACACACAATAAAATCAAAGAGATCAAAAAACAGTTCCTGGGCAGAAAATTGATTCTTGGTGTTGACGATATGGATATATTTAAAGGAATCAGTTTGAAATTTCTGGCATTTGAACAGCTTTTGCAGCAGCAGCAGGCGTTGCGGGGAAAACTGGTATTGGTACAAATAGTGAATCCTGCTAGGAGCTCAGGAAGGGATGTCGAGGAAGCAAAGGAGGAAACATATTCAACTGCCAGAAGAATCAATGAAATCTATGGCAGTCCTGCTTATGAACCAGTGGTTTTGATTGATCGTCCTGTTGCTCGCTACGAGAAGACTGCCTATTATTCCATGGCAGAATGTTGCATAGTGAATGCAGTGAGGGATGGGATGAACTTGGTCCCCTATAAGTATATAGTCTGCAGGCAGGGTTCTTCGCACATGGATGAAGCTACAGGTATCGAAATGGATTCTCCTCCGACAAGCATGCTTGTTGTGTCTGAGTTTGTTGGTTGCTCACCGTCTTTAAGTGGAGCAATTAGGGTGAACCCATGGGATTTCGACTCAGTTGCTGAGGCCATGAACTTGGCCATTTCCATGCCTGATTTGGAAAAGCAATTGCGACATGAGAAACACTACCGATATGTTAGTTCTCACGATGTTGCTTATTGGGCCCGCAGCTTCATGCAGGATTTGGAGAGAGCATGCCAGGATCACTATGATAAGCAGTGTTGGGAATTGGGTTTTGGCTTAAATTTCAGAGTTTTATCACTTTCTCCAGGTTTTAGGAAGTTACATAGTGATAATGTCGTCTCTGCATATAAACGGACAAGCACGAGAGCAATATTCCTGGACTATGATGGAACTCTTGTACCTCTATCCTCCATGGTTAGATCTCCCAGTAGTGAAGTTGTTACTATACTCAATGCGCTGTGTGATGATCCTAAGAACACAGTGTTTATTGTCAGTGGAAGAGGAAGAGGTTCCTTAAACGATTGGCTTGCACCATGTGAGAAACTGGGATTAGCTGCTGAACATGGGTACTTTATAAGGTACATAATTTTGACTCTTTGGCTGATTTCTCTTCTCTAGAACAGGTTATTAAATATATGAACTGAAACCAAGATCTTTATCATTATTTACTTCAGGTGGGATAAAACCTCTGATTGGGAATCTTTGTCTGCGGATCTTGAATGGAAAGATATCGTCGAACCCATTATGAAACTGTATACGGAGGCGACCGATGGGTCCTACATGGAAATCAAAGAGAGTGCATTGGTGTGGCAACATCGGGATGCAGACCCGGATTTTGGCTCCTGCCAGTCCAAAGAACTGTTGGATCACTTGGAAAATGTACTTGCAAATGAACCTGCAGTTGTTCAGAGGGGGAAGTATATTGTAGAAGTGAAACCACAAGTATGTATATCCGCACACACACATACACATATATCTATATGTATGTTACATAATCTAAGAGCTTGTTTGGGAGAGATTAAAATCTGATTTTAATTTAAATCAAAGTCAAACAATCAATAATAACCACATTTTTCATGGGTCTCACAATTTTTCAACCACACATTTCAAAAACTTCTATCACAATCTACTAAAAAATATGATTTTGATCCCTACCAAAAACTCTCTAAGTAAGATTGATATTCAATTGCATCTTGATGCGCAGGGAGTGACCAAAGGATTGCTTGCACGGAAGGTCCTTGCTCTGATGGTCAAAAATGGAAAGCTGCCGGATTTTGTGATGTGTATTGGCGACGATAGATCAGATGAAGACATGTTTGAAAGCATATTGAGCAGTGTCTCTAGTTTATACCTAGCAGCAGCACCCGAGATCTTTCCTTGCACCGTTGGGCAAAAGCCGAGCTGGGCTAAATATTACGTTGATGATGCTGCTGATGTTGTGAGGCTGCTTCGGCATCTCGCCACTGCTTCAAGTCCAAATCCTCGGGCATAGATCATGCTTGGATGCTGGTTTTGTTTTCTTCACAGCAAATTTATAAACAGAATCCCATATGTAAATTCTTCTTTTTCTTGTGTGGTGGGTGTAAGGTGGGGGTGTCTTTTGGTGACAAGGATAAAGTTACCGTCATTGACGTTAACATAGTATACAGCGCTGGGTTGGTATCAGAATTTGCTTTCTTGCCAGATCTGCTTCTGTTTAGGTTTGAATGTGAAAATTTCTAATTTAGAAAGCGTCTTTTGGGCCAAAAATCTTTCGATGTATAGTTTTCCAAACGTTGATAGTGGCTGCTCTAGATTAGGACGTAGAAGGCACCTCTTGTATATATTTGACCTTGCCCCTTTTTAATGCCAGTTCTGTATATAAATGGGTTCGCTCTGTTTCTTTTGTTTCTACTAATCTAACTTGCCAATGTTCATTTTTTATGAGAATTATCGTTTATTCATTTGGGTAGTTTTAAGGTTTCTTTTAAATGAATTTAAGCATAAAATGAAAACAAATAATTGTTTTTCATATTGTGCATGAGTAAATTTGCATGGCTTACTAGTTACATGGATTGATGCCTAAATGCTCACCG